TACTAATAAAATTAAAAGAACTTTTTTCAAATATATTCCTTTCTTTTCTGTTTGAATTTTATTTTTAGACTGAGATTTTAACTCAACTATATCGATGACCTAATCGATATTTTTATCAATTCAATATGCACATCTCTAGCTAATCGCCTATTATTAAATCTTAACACACCCACGTCGGCATCCAACAAGTAGGGTTTCGAAGTGTATAATTTGTAAACAATGTATTTTCATAAAATTATTGGTGTTATATACCTGGGGATTGTTACTGTATACGGTGCTGGCATAGAGCGCGTTGATGATACCGATTTAATACACATTCTAACCGGCGAAGGCGATGTGGTTGCATTGTTTACGCGCGGGAACTGCGCGGAGTGCGACAAATATGAAAGCATTGTTGACAATATTCAGGAAGAAGTTAAGCAATCGCTGGGAGCATCTGTTGTGCAGGCCCACGATAGCAATTTAATACATATCTACGATCCTAGCAGGGAGCCGGCATTGTTATATTTCCGTCGCGGAATACCAATACTCTATAATGGAGCGATTGACGGAGAAGAAATTATACAATTTTTCAATGATAACCGTGAGCCAGCGGTGAAGGAACTTTCTGATGACAACTTCGAGCATTTGACGCAAGCCTCAACTGGAGCCACTACGGGAGACTGGTTTGTTTTTTTCTACTCCGCGGAATGTGTGCTCTGCCAGCGTCTATATGCCGTTTGGGAGTCCGTTGGTGGCTCACTAAAACGCAAGATAAACGTGGCACGAATGAATTCGCTGGCCGCTGGCTCGTCCACTGCGAATCGGCTAAAGGTTTCGACAACTCCTGAATTCGTTTTCTTGCGCCAAGGCAAAATCTATCGGTACACTTCGAAGGAATATACTCCAAAAGCTTTCATCGAGTTTGCCGAGGGTGGATATAGAAAAATTAATCATCCAGAGACTGTTCCCAAGCCATCCAGTTTTATGGATGAACTATCTTTTGAACAAGTTATAGATTATATCAATAACCAGGGTACGCTTCCATTGGCATTTATTGGGACGCTCATGGTTTTATTTCTTCTACTTATTGTTAAACGTCTGTTTAAAACGCCGTCAAAGAAAGCCGTGAATAAAAAAGACAAATAGTTTGGGAAGCGGGTAAAAATAAGTGTAGCTCAGTTTATATTTGGCATATGACATTCCTTGTACATCAACTTTTGTACTTAAAATAATATACATATTTAATAAAAAACATTTTTATTTTAAAGTAAATTATACAACCTCGATTGTTTGCTATCGATATATATCGCTGGCTCTTGCTAATTTCAGGTATTTAGACGTTTGCATTAATCGGTCACACTGTTCATAAAATAATATTTGCAAAGAAAGTTTACTATGGTCGGATCAAATTTTGGCATTATCTACCATCCGAGTGCTGGCGGCGGCTCATCTGGTCAAGCCAACACAAGCAGCGGCACAGCTTCTGGAGCCAGCGGTGGCAATAGCTTCAATTCGATTTCGGGCGGCGATCGTTCTGCACCAGCATCGCATCTCAGCGATTTTATGTTGCAACTAGAGGACTACACACCGCTGCTGCCTGATGCTGGTAGCTATTCCTTAATACACATTTAATACACATAATTTACCTCAACAATGTTGGACTTTCAGTCACTTCGCATTATTTGAATATGGGCGGCTTTCATGCGGATGACAAGCGCATTGTTCGACTAATTTCCATAGCAACTCAGAAATACATGTCGGACATCATTGACGATGCACTGCAGCATTCGAAGGCGCGCACACACATGCAAAACTCAAATACACCCGGTGGCTCAAAGGTGAGTTGCTGTTGTTCATATATACGTACAATAAATGTGTTTATTTTGATATAACTTTATTATAGGCTAAGGATCGCAAATTTACCTTAACCATGGAAGATTTGCAGCCAGCACTAGCTGACTACGGCATTAATGTGCGAAAAATGGACTATAGCCAGTAGGCAATTCGGCAATTTAATATTAAGTTATTTTATTTAAGTTACATTCATAAAAAATTTCTCAAATGAAAAGAAAGCCCCCCAAGATTGCGCTCTTGTAATCGAGCTCCAAATAAATGTTGACAAAAATTCAGTTTGATGTCTTAAAACTTAAATTAAAGTTAGGATAATATCTTTACAGGTTTTAAATCACTAGATTCATAATACATTCTAGCTAATCGACTATTTATCGACACATTAGAAATCTTTTAAAGCTATTGCTGGTACCTCCCGCCACTTTGAAGGCTAAAACACCAGTGAGAATCGTTACAACATAGTTGGGCACGAGACTGGCCCAGTACAGGCCATCCGCATTCAGTAGCGTCAACAGGGAGACGAAAAGATGTGAGCCAACTACGTAGAAAATATGTAGATAGTTATTTGTATCAAAAGCGTTGAAGAAGATGACGCTCCAGAATGTGTGCAACAGGACAATTGAAAGCACTTGGACAGCCGAGGTGACGAAAAATATTTCAGAGCCGCCCTTGAGACCCATTGTGCCAGGTCCAGTCTTCAAATATATAATGAACACTGATTAGAATATTTATTTAATATAGCTAATGAGTCACGCACCATATCAGCCAGCACATTAACCAGCGCAAACAAACCCGATATGATCCCGAATCCAAGCCCTGAAACATAGGCCAAAATATGCTTGTTTTCCGTGATCCGAGTGTCCTCAGCCACGGCGTGCAATGCTTGCTCTGTGCTGCGCAAAATGCGATAGATGATGTAGCGAAAACATTCCTGGAAGAGCACAGAGAACACCACACCAAAGGCCAGTACATCACGCAGAGGAACAATCGCAAACCACAGCATCGACGACAACAGCAACGAAAGCAGCCAAAAGAAGGCGGCTGCTATGAGCATTATGATGCGCATGGAGTCATTGGCAATAGTGAGCACAAACAGTGCAAACGGTGTGCCAAATGCAATCAGTGTACAACCAAAAAATTCGGGTAGCGTCATATTTATTGTCACAAAAAAGAAAAACCGCCCACTCTGACAGCTTTTTGCTTTTTTTACTTTGCGGTGACAGGCCGATGACAATTAACGAGTCTCTGTAGTCGTGTAACTTATCGATAGCGATAGCAGTGTTTGCAGGCACTCCCTCAAATACAGCATATTGAATTTACAAGCGGCTGGCTGAATAGCAACATTATTATTTCTTAAAAATAATTATTACTTGCAGGCTTAAAATATATATAATCCTGACATTAGATAGGCATATATTAAATAATTAAGTTATGGCAGCAAAAAGTATTCAATATTCATAAGAATCCGTTTACATTCATTTATAATTTAGCCATGTAGAGTATTCCATATTCAGTTAATTGCTTAACTATCGAGTGAAGATAATTTTAAATAAGCTGTTCGTGCGTGAGCTACGTCGTGTAAACATATCGGCAACGATAAACTAATGTTTACATACGCTTTCGAAACTGCAGTTGGTTTTCATAATTGTGCCTGCACTAAAAGGGTTAAAAATTATTAAATTATTTTAAAACAATTAATATAATTGCATAGTTGTGATTTTTCCTTAAACGAATATCAGAAACCGTATATAATGAATAACTAATACACAACAATGCGGGTACTCTACATATGCACTTTCAAACCCGAACCCCAAGAGAGCATTTGATAGTCGTTGTAGTGTGTTGTCGAGATTAAGACAAAGGCGCCCCACTTACTTGCGCACTGGGCTCGTCAATGTTTTGGTTTGGGTCTTTGGGGATTAGTCACTCGAAGATTCGCAAGCATAATACAAACGCCACAGAAGTAATTAAATTGATATTAGCGGAAAATTCATATTGCACCACTGTTAAGTAATTTATTTATGTGGCTGGATTTACAAGTGAGCAGACAATTGCATAAACAAGTGCACCAAAGCGATAGTTAACTGTAATTGCATTCGACTACTTTCAACTTTCTAGTGCATGCTGTGATGGCGAAACGTCTACTGCCACACCAGCCGTCTGAGGATGGTCCGCATCCGGACGACGAGCCTGATAGTCCAGCCATTGAGGCGGCCGCCTTGGACATACCGTCACTGGCTGTTGACCCGACGGGTCAGAAAGGTGAGCTAATTAGAATCCAAAGTGCAATTTTTTATATTATATATACATATGTATATTTTAGCGTTCTGGGAGAGCTACAATCCAGCTAAAAAGTTTCGTCCCACTGCTGATGGCAGCTTGGAATTACGTTTTGAGATTTTGCTAGCCCACATAATGCCTCGCGAGAACGAGGATGTGAAAATCAAACGCTTCGTCATTTACGAGCTAACTGTGCGCCAGGACTCCAGCACCATGGATGAGCAACCGGCCAAGATTGAGCGCCGCTATACAGACTTCCGGGATCTTTATCAGTGCCTTAAACGGGAGCTGCCCAACGAGCTAGCCAGCATTAACTTTCCCAGCAAGGTGCTCATGGGCAACTTCTCAGCGGAGCTGATTGCCGAACGCAGCGCTGCCTTCGAAACATTTCTTACGCATATCGCCAGGAACACAAAGCTGCGGGATTCGGAGGCATTTCTACGCTTTTTGCAGCACGACGAACTGACCCGGGCTTGCCAGTATCTGGATGAGCGACGCAACGAGATGGCCATACCGATACTCGAGAACTGTTTTCGTCTGTTGAACAAGATCTTCATGAATCGATCGCGACCCGTACTGCTAATACTCTGCCGCCTGGTGGCTGCCTGCACCGCCTCACCGGTGCCCCATCACTCAGCGGAACGTTGGGCTCTGCTCGCACTCAGCCGCTTCGATACGCTATGTGATATTGACTTACTGCCGCTCTACATACCCCTGCTGCACACCTGTGCACACTTGTGGTAGGCACTATGAGCTCTTATTGAACAATTCGTATATGTATTTGTTGATTGCTTGCTTTCAGGTGGCAACGGGGTCAGGATCAGAAGCCCATAACGGATCGCTTGACGGAGATGTCCAGGCAGGGCATTAATACGGCTAATATCACCAGCCTAATGCAGGCAATTCACAAGCTGGATCCCCGCACTGAAACCATCTGAATGCACAATGTACACAATACCCATACATACACACACACACATATATACTCATACTCATACATATACGCCCTCGAGCTGTAGTGCTAAGCTAAAAGTGCAATTAGTAACAATTATCGTGCAATTAGAAACGTTTGTCATATTTATATTTACATGTCTCACGGCCCTTCCACATCCGTCAACTTTTTGTTTAGTGTTTCATGTATGTCTAATATCTTATATGTCTAATAATAAATGTCTAGTAAGTTATGTTGCGTAGCTTCGCCATTTAACGTCATTGTAACTGTAGCGAATGCTAATGGTAATCCCTCTGAACACAAATGAAATTGTCTAAGAATTAACATTCCTGTAATATCAAACAATCTATTATCGAAATATGGAGAATTATATTAAGAACAACATTATCAAATATATAATAGGAACGATAGTCTGAATCATTTTGTTGTGCATTTCTTATATTGGTAGGCATATATATAGATGCGTCATTTCGCAAATGAAATGAGAAACTACGTCAATTGTTAGCTGTGCTGCATGAATATTTTAAATGCTTATCCAGAAATATCTAAAAATGAAATTAAATGAAAAGCACGTATCACTTTTCCTAAGTGAGCTCATCATACGCGCTGAACTAGAATATCGGAATCTCTGATCTTCAGAGGTCAGACCGGATGACTGTCCGACTGTAGTCAGTCCGACTGTAGATCAAGTGTAATGACTTTAATTCAATTGGAAAGCCTGGGCTTAACATGGCAGTCTAGAATATATTCCCAATTATATTATGAGGTTTGAGTTCTGAATAAATTCAGAGATCAGACCGGATGCCATCATTCAATTCCTATATAATTCCTGTATAATTGGATTGCTTAACAGCAGGAATAATATCGTATAAAATCCAGTTTAAATTAAAATTTCAAGTCGTTACAAAGAAAACAAAAAACTAAATCAGCTGCAATTAGTTGACATTAACCAATTGTAAGAATTAGCTTAACTTTCTGTTCAACTAATTTGGTTAGCTCCAAAGCACTCAAATTAAAAATAGACTGAAATGATCTACTTTAAACATTTTCAAAAATTAGCTTAGCAGCTAAATCTAATGCAATTCAATTGAGCTTGGTTCATCCCATAAATAATATAAATAAACTCCAGTTTAATTTAAATTTCAAGTCTCTTTAGCATTGAAACATCATGAGCTGCACTTAATGGTCATTAAACATTTTTAAGAATATATTTTAAGTCAATTATTACATTAAAATCTAAGGTGCACTTAAATAAATCAACTTATTATACGTTTTTTGAGGCTCGCTCGCCAACGCTAGCCAACTATAGTTGCATGTCTAAAACGATCGCATGCATCCATCCAATAAGCTGGCAAGTCTTGGGGGTGCTCAGCGGCTACTCAACATTGCGTATACATAATTTAAAATGTACAATTTCTCGGAGACAATATGCAAATCGCACCAATGTCATGATGGTTGTGGATGTGGTGSTGGTGCAGTGGTACAGCGGTGCAGCTTCTAATTGCTTCAACGGTAGAGTCGCGTAAATGTTTTCAGTGCCTGTGCAACGGCCTTTGTGGTGTCAGCCCTAAGAGAGGGGGAAAATCAAATAGTTTAGCAAACAATGGAACACAATCCAACGCCAAACACACGGATACTCACCTCAGCACCGTATTACTGAACTCATCCAATTGCTGTTGTGTGGCAGTCACGTAGCCGCCGCTATTCTTTTTGGGCAGCGAGTCGAGCGCATGGGCTAGGAACGGCTGCATCTGTGCCTGTGTAACCACATGTTTCAGTTCGTTGAGCACCTCGGCGACGTCGGCGAGCATGTAGGAGTGCAGCTGGAAGACGGACGCCTGTATCAGATTCATGACCAGAGCGCCGCCATGCTGCGTGGCCAACTCAATGACCAGCGGCCGGCACTCGCTATGCCGATGGTTGTTGCTGCGCCCCCAGGTGAGCAGATTGATAAAGAACTTCATCACCGACGAGTTGGCCTCCCGATGGTCCAGCGAGCAGGCAATCAGTGCGCACTGGAAGATGGGCGTGATCAGGCTGCTCTGGAGCAGCTGCAATGGACAGCAGTCTAGGTAACGTGAGGCCAGTCGAAAGAAATCATCGACTGTGTCGGGATTGTTGCGTAATCCGTTCTCCAACTGCAGCAATGCAAACGTAGGCTCGATGAAGGCCTGCAGCATTTCCAGCAATCCCGTAATGCATTCATTCGACTTGGCAAACTCATCCACCAATATGGAGCCAACATACAGGAAACAACTGTGATGTTGCACCGCGTAGAGCACAACGATCTGTTTTATCAGCGGCTCCACTAGCATCACTGCTTGCTTGCGCACCATGCGAATGCCGTAGCGTATCAGTCGGCAGGTGCGCTCCATGATGCGCGACTCGCTCTGGTACTTCTCCAGCACGCGTGAGATGAGCGGCCAGGCGTCATTTAATATTGCAACTGTCGGATGTTCCACGTTGTCGGGCACATCGGGATTCGTGTGTCTTATAATAGCGCAGGCACGATCAATCCAATAGACGGGATCACTCCGCTCATTCTTTGCCGGATCGCAGTGACCGCTCTCCACCAACTGCACTAGCGGTTGCAACTGGAATCCCACAATCTCTCGCAACGCTGGCTGCAGCTGCTCACGTGGCAGTTTCGTCAAGATCAGCGATATGCCCTTCAGCAGCCCAATGGCTACATCATTATTTATCTGAAAGCTGTCCAGGCTGTGCGCTATCTGCACCAGGCCGCTGATGTGGCAGATCATTTTCTGCCTGCATGCCGAACAGATGGAGGTGAGTGCTATCGCCGCCGCCGGCGCCAACCCGTTCTTCTGCTGCAGTGCGTACAGCAGAAAGTTGAGCACAGCCTCGAGCAAGTCCGAGTGATTCTCAATCCAGTCACACAGTTCTCCAATGAGCATTATCGATGTATACCGCACCGCAATGTGCGTTTGATCCGTCATATTAAGTATCGCCTCGACCACCTTGGGTATCACATCGTTCTCCTCGCTAAAACCATATGGAATTTATGAGTAATCAATACCTGATCCAGTATATTGAGCACTTACGGCAATATATTCTTGGCCACATTTTGCATAACAAAGAGCGCCGCCTCGGTGGACTCCCACGTTGTGGTTGGATCTTGTAGAATAATAAACATTTGCTTAAAACATGCGCCAGACCCAACAATGAATGCCACGTCCTTCAACAGATCCGAAACCTTGCGACGAAAGTCCTATGAAAAGAGAACCAAATTTTAATTCAGTTTACATAAATATCTTCGGTCTATACTTTTCCTACATAGAAATTATTGTTCTCTTCGATGAGGCCATCGTGATCGCTCTCCATTTGTGCGTGTCGAAAGAGAGCGCTGATCAGCCGCTCAATGTGCGGCCTGAAGCGCGCCGTTAGCTTTTCGTCGTACCGCTGGAACAGATCCTCGCTGAGTTTATACCACAAATAGAAGGTGACCTCGGCCACCTCGTAGTCGAAATGACCGACGCACAGCAACACCAGATCCAGGCCCTTCATCGCGTACTGTGATTCAAAGATATCCACGGAGAAGGCATCGCAGAGTGTTGTGAAGATCCGGCAATAGTTGATCGTCTTGTCGGTGTCCTCGTGGGCGACACTCAAGTGATACGCCGTCTCCAGTTGACAGACTGCCTCAAATATGCGCGTCACCTGGGGGTCGACCTCCAATTGGCCGCTGCGCGAGCCCATGCAGCTGAGCAGCGCACAGACACATTCGGTGGCATTGTCGTGCAGTTTGCCCGACGTTTCCGCTGGCTGGTTGAGGAGACGGAAGGCGAGCTGGGAGAGCGCATTGTCGCAGATGTGGGAGAGAGGGAACGCTTGTATGACCAGCCAGGCGCTATACGTGCGCAGTGTGGCAATCCAAATCCGTTGCTGGTCTAGATCCTTGCGCTGCGAGCACATGCACAAAAATTCTAATACACATTCAGCACTGGCGTCCAGCTGCTTGTGCACCTGTTCCCGTCGATTGGCGCCCAAGCGCAAATACCGCGAATCAATTTCCTCGGGTAGCACCTTCAGTATCTCCAGCAATGGCCAAATAGCCGCAGGATGTGGAACAAGCGCTTTTATCAGATCACTAATGGGTTCCTGCCACGTGGCCATTAGCAGCGCCAGATCCGCCACGGCCAGACTGAGTTGAGTTACGATCACATTGTCCGTCTGCTCGTCGATCTGTGCTATATGCGTGATCAGGGAGTCTCGCAGAGATTCGTGTGTGTGGGGAGGCAGCTCGCTAAAGGAGTTTTGTATTTTGTTACGTATCGTCTGAGCGGCAAAGTAGTTGGCGTGCAAATCTCGTTTCTGGTGCAGCAGCTCGTCTGCAATGGTCCATGAATAGATCTAGAGCAACAAGTGCGACTAGTTAGCATAAAGTGTTTCATTTATACAAAAGCAGATGCCCAACTCGGAGTGGGCTGAAACTTACCGACTTTTGAAACTCCTGTAGCCATTTATTGGCTTTTTCCTGCTCCTTGGGATTGGTGCCTTGGAATAATGCACTTATAGCTTGATATACAATATCCACAGTATATGTGTCCATTGCGCCGGCTTGCAGGTAGATGTAATCAATGCATTTATTAATATTGCTAAAATTGTTTCTATTGAAAGAATATGTGGCGGCTCGCCGATAATTGACGGCTGTTGCCTGATAACTTTTTTGAGCAGGGCTGCAATTAAATGCATAATCTTTATTTTTATACTTATGCATATAAAAATATATATATACATATGTCGAATATATTTAGATAAAATTGAGTGCAATCCTCTGCCATTAAGGTGTACCGTTTATTTATATTGGTTTGCGTATAAAAATGTATATATGTCAATATATGTACATAAGATATCGTGCAAATTAATGCACGCGTAGGAATTAATTATTAATGTTCGCCAAGGGTTAAAGTATTTTAAAGGGTTTAGAAACTTTCAAACTTACAAATTTGTTTATTAAATTTAAAAAATATATA